CACATTCCGACATTCTAAAAGTTTTCCGGCTGAATAGATTTTTTTTTTTTTTTTGACAGTGTCCCCACTTCATAATTGGCAAAAATAAAACAGAAATGTAAAATAAATTAAATACTGAATTTTTAGGCGACTGGTTGGATTACATTTTGGAACAAAAACACTAACCCTAACAAAAAAATCTACAGTAATGTTTGTGATCTGATATGGTTCACTCACTATTGATGAAAATGAATAATCCTCTCCCTGAGCCACTGAGCTACAAAACCACAAAACAAAAGCTTTAATCTGGACTTTCACCAATAGACAAAACCCACAGCTGCTTCCCTGGCAAATAATCCTGAAACTGTTTTTTGTGAAGTTGAACTGTAACACTTTTATATCACAGTAAAATCAACCTATTTTTCTTACAGTGGTTCTAAAAAAAGTCCCACTCCGGCCCTTTCCCAATAAAAAGATGCCCATTAAAATTCCCAACCGGGGCTTGTGTTGGTCTCGAGTTGGAGGAACTTGTGAAGCTCCTAAACAACTGTTTGAAGGATGTCAATGTCTGGCATGCATCGCTGCTGCAAATTCTCCTGTTGTTGAGGGTAGAATTGGCCCAATGCATTCGCTTCACAGTAGCCCAGTACCACTGTGTCGAAGCTTAATAGAGCAGCCGCAGTGCATTGTGGGAGAACTTCAGAAGGTTGAAGACCAGTGGGGCTGGATATTCTGTATGTGGGAGCTATTGGTGCTGGTGTGGAACAAATATGGTGCCCAGTTTGAACCAATTCTTGAGCCAAGTGCCAGCGCCTCTGCAGTGGAAACTGCTGAAAAATGGTTTGGAAACACTTCAAAACTGACCCTTCAAATGCCTTAGTGGAAAAACCCTTTCTTTGTCAGTGGGGCAACTGCTGAGTGTGCTACGTTATTTAAAGTAAAAGCTGTTTGTTTCTGGGTTTTCTTTCCAAAAAGTAATTAATCAGTACTGTACATTCATATATGTGTCATATGTGTTTTCTCCACAAAAAGGTTAAATAACTTTGTTTAACAATGACAAATCTTTTTTTTCTTCTCCAAATTGAGGCTGTTGGACACAAAAATGTCCTTACTCTGTTGAAGTGTACCAGGGTGTTTTTACGGTTCCATATCACACTGTGTAACTTGCATATTGGACCATGATAAGCTTCCAAACTATTTTGATATCACAAAGTCATGCTTGAGGTACATTTCTTAAACGAAGATTCAAGGTGAACCCCTTTATACGGTGGCCCTGAAGTGCAAGACAGCACAGCATTTCACAAAACACAACAGCATTTCAGAAAACACAACAGAAAACACAACAGCATTTCACAAAACGCCACAGCATTTCACAAAACGCCACAGCATTTCACAAAACAACACAGCATTTCACAAAACACCACAGCATTTCACATTGGACGGAAAGGGTATTCCTTAGGGAGAACACTTCTTGTTTGTGATTGGACAGAGCCAGCCAGAGAATCACTGCTGTGATTGGTTGTTTTTGCTGCCAGTCAAGAAATGACTCTTCGTGATTGGCCCAACACATCAGCCGTTAGCTGTTAGCTCACACTCAGAGCTCACAGCTCCTCATATCTGTTCAGAAACTGGACAAAAGTTAAACATATACAAAACACAAACTGTCTATGTCATGGCGAATACAGTCGCTGCTTTATTTATGTCTGTATGACATTGTTGTGAGTGTGGACGGAGCAGCTACAGATTAGTTTAGCCTGATGGATCCGATCCCGATAGGATTTACATGGAGATACGCCCCGCCCCCTCTCCAGCGTCTTGTTTGAATGACAGCAGTAAACACAGAATTAATGCTTTATTAATTCATGGTTTTTAAGGGGCTTATCTCCATGTAAATACTATGGTAGACTACCCAATATTCGCATCGCTCTAATCGCTTGAGTTTCACCGCGGCTGTCAGCTGTGTTTGCTCCTGTCATTCAAACAAGACGCGCTGGAGAGGGGGCGGGGCGTATCTCCATGTAAATCATATGGGACTACAACAAAATGAACATATTTGACCGTGATTTAATTGTAATACACGTTCCAAAGTGATGCCGAAGTAACTACATACTGATAACGGTTAGTAAAAACCATGAATTAACGCTTTGACAAGACGGCAGGCGAAAAGCTTTTAAAATGCGTGTTTTCTGAATTGAATCAGATCCATCAGGCTAAACTAACCTGTAGCTGCTCCGTCCACACTCACAACGACGTCATACAGACATAAATAAAGCAGTGGCTGTATTCGCCATGACACAAACAGTCTGTGTTTTGTACATGTTTACAGTTTTTCTCGATTGCTAACACACATTTTNGCTGGCATGAGAGGGCCAGGGCATAAGAGAGCGATTAGTTAGAAAAACCTCTGGTATAAATGAGGCCTCCTACGTAAATTGTTTACAGGAATAGGGGAATATAATTGAAAATAAACATTACATGACGGTGGAGAAAGATAATGCTCAAGATCGTGGATATTTTTTAGTGAAGCACCGCACAAGGAATTAGAAACAAATAAGGGCAAAACAAAACATAGACGCGGGGGCATAATAAAAGGGGGGGTCTTCGCAGGGCCGTCTGGTCGGCAGGGGGGAGGCTTGGCTTCAACACAGGCATATCTTACATACACCGGTCGCATTACTTAATAAACTCAGGAGGGTACAGATTGGTAATTCGTGACACATCTGATGTCTGGGTCATCATATGAACCATGGGTATACAGAAATATAATCAGGCGGGGTGGGTTCAGAAACTTATGGTATTCTGCCATCGTACTCGCTGCCTGTCTTCGATGTTTAGGGCACGCCCCTTCGTCGGTACATCTCATTCTGCACGCACATCAGGGCCCCGGCTTGGCCAGAGCGAATCAGTAGAGAGTTATGGGCCACACGGCTGGAGACGTCGCACATGACCATGACGGCTCATGAATACCAAACTGTTCGACAGTCGGTGCTTATGAGACAGCTGCAGGAAAACACCCGGCTTATCTCTCTAATCTAGTGCTCATAAGAATCCGCGTTCTCAGTAAGTCGCTTGTTTCATGCATGTCTTCGTTTTTGGGGTGTTTTACTTTAGATTTGGTTGCTCCCTTCTCGGTCTTGTTACCGTCCTGACTCTCTTCGGAGCGAGGTACCGGACCGTGAGTTGTGGGTTTTCTTATAATACTCTTGTTACGTCACTCTACGGTATGCGAGTCAGTGCTGTAGTGGAGAAACCGCTGAGTGCTCCGCCTAAGCATCTTGTGACATACCCCAACTTGGTGCATCCTAACCAATATCTCGACCCTCGAATTCAGTTTCCTGACACGCGCCCCACCCTACTCCCTCCAGACGATGGAGAACGAGCCGAGTGACAGAGCTGGTGAGGCGAGAGAGATAGAATTCGAGTACGACAGTAGACAGGGATAGTGTCCGCTCCGCATGGTACTTTCAAGCAACAGACCGTCACCGGAGCCCCAGGCTCCGATGATTGGCTCCGTGCTTTTTACAGCAGGCCACGGCTTCCACAGATGACATTTTTTTATGGATTTATTAGCTAATCAGTCTCAGATCTGCCAGGGTGACTGCAAATACGCGGCACCATTCTCCCTAAAAGATTTGTGCGGTGATACAGAATGGCAATCGGTTAGAAAGTATGTAGGATATCAGAGGAAGGCTTTGTCAAGTGGAGTTATATGTAAACAGAAGTGTACTTTACTAAGCTGTGATTACCTACCCACCTTATCGGCTAGATTACATTGTTATTCTGTGTACATTAATGAATTTATGGTCCTTAACACCCACTTTACTCTTCATCTACTCTATTTTTCTGACGACTTCTTACAATTTTGAACCCAAACTACCTGAACTTTCTATCTTACTCTCTTCTCCTAGTTGACTTTCACTATGTAATCTGTTATACTTGTGCTACTGCAGTTGAATGGAATACACCAGGTGGGACCCTCGAACGCCTTGTATTGCTAGCTACTCAGTTATCTGTATGAAAACTCAACCTCCCACACACTGGACACTATTCTACTTTACTCTTCAATGTTGAACTCTCATCATATAATGTACTTTTATTCTCACTTGTGTGAACTCAAAACTACTAGCCTACTTACGCGTACTTCTATCACTGGCTCTCACCATGCTTAGGAACCTCAATTACTCCCTGTCCTACTTCTACTCTCTTACTATGTATAGAACTCAGAACATACCTGTACCTTATCATACTAAGATATCTTACATGATTGATGACACAAATATCCCCCCTAGTACTCTTACGACTTCTCCCTAAATTTATTCCCTAACGTGCTGGAGTATCTTTGATGTACTGATCCGCTGTCGTTTGGTAGTCCAGTGATCACTGTATTATTTAAGACGTCAACTATGCGTGGTCTATCTGATGTGAACATTCGATTCGTGTACCATCATTCTCCTGGGTCTTTCTCTAAAGCAAGAGGGACTAATGGAACGCCTTCTTAGTCATGTTGTCCGTTAGTTCAGCTCGGAACCCATTCCTCTAGCTAACATGACATTTTGTTCCTATTATATAAAGGAGGGTCAGGTACTCTTTAAAACAGCTGCTAGTTACTGGGTACTGTTTTACTGACGCTTACATTTCAAAGCTCTTTACTTTTAACTTGAGTAAACGAAGTTTACCGCTCCCGTACTATCTACTTTCACCAGAGTATTTTCACAGGGAGTATCTGTACTCTCCTTCTTGAGGTAAAGGGATGTATGTACTTTTGGCCATCTCTGCTTTTTTATACATACTATATCCCTTTTCTCTCATTAAAACACTCTGGAATAAATTGACAGTATACATTGACTACTAGAATATACTTCATATATATGGGACCCGACGTCGCTTCCTCCTCTCCCGGAGCGTCAGTGGAGCGGACGTCCGTTTGTGGATGACGGCGCACAGCTGTTCAGTGCATGCGCTGCAGACTCGTCCAATGTCAAGTGAGTCGACTACACATGTAAGGGGGCGGGGACGACTTGGTCTGAGGTTTTCACCGGAGGATGGTCTGGTAGTTAGGTGATGTCCGATCACCTTTCTTTTGCTCCCCGATCCGATTCCGACTCATCTTGGATTTTGACATTTGCCGATACCGATTTTTCCAGATCCGATCTTTATGCAATGATTTAAGAGAAAAAAAAGCTTCAACGTTGTCCCTTCCCAGGTTATTTTTTTAATTTAAATGTTGATATTCTATCCAACTGGTATAGCTTCTTTCTTTCACAGCAGCATTGGCTCCAGTTAAGTTGTCGCAGGCATTGGATCAAAAAAATAAAGCTTATCAGCTACTCGTTAGCTTACTGCTACTATTAGACACTGCGCCCTGCCCACTCTGTTGCCAGATTTGAGAGAAATAAGCAGGTCTATGAAAACAAGCCCCAAAGAAGCAACACATACAAGATGTTCTGTAATTTGAAACCAAAACTAAGGCCTCAGGATGACTTTAAGACTTGAACATGGTCATTTTTGTTTTGTAACATTGAATACAACATTTTTAAAAAAGTATTTAGAAAAAGAAAAAAAAAATCCCGATCCCCGATTTTTTTCCTCCCGATTCCGATCTTTTGAAAATCACGTGATCGGCTCCGATCCCCGATCACGTGATCGGATCGGGACATCTCTACTGGTAGTTCCTCGATTATCGCTCCTCCGTTATCACTCCTCGGGCCTCCGGCAAAAATAATGCCACTGGGACGCTACTCAAGATGGCACAGACAAATCAACTTCCGGTGAAACCGAGCCCGAGGAGCGAGGAAATGAAAAATAAGAGAAGTGAAACGCACCCTATGAACCTGAAAGTGAGCATTAATGTTTTCACTACTTTGTATTTTTACAATTGCCACTGAGGTGAATTGACAAACTCTGTTCTGGAGGTTCTTCAAAATGACCTGAAAGCCTCTTATCTGAGAAGAGGATGCTTTTTGGTGAATTTCAAAGTCACACAATGTATGTTCCCCTCGGAGTAAATGGGGGGAAATGCCCCTGCACCGTTGCTCTTTCTACATCCATGCCCTGAACACACGACCCCCCCTTCTTGTAAACAGGAAGTATCTTTTTACCACAGGGTCGTTGTGTTTGCTGTTATCTACAACTTGAGCTGTCTTCCCTTTATTTACATATGAGAAAAATAATTAGCTACATTATTAAACGTTTTTGCTGCTAAATAAATAGTTTACGTCCATTTTAAAACCACTAATCACGACATGTAATGGCTCCAGTTTCTTAAATGTGAGCATTTGCTGCTTGTTCTTGCCATTTTTAGATCACAAGTAAGCCGAACATCTTTTGTTTTCTTACTGTTTCGTTGGACAACACAATACATTTGATCACTTTTGACATTTCTCATTATTTTCTCGATGTTGCATTGAGCAGATGCTGCTTTAGTTATGGAGATCTGCAGATTAATCAATGATGGCAATAATCGTTAGTTGAATGCCTCTGTTATAGTTTTGGACATAAGAACTGGTATAACTGTTGTATGGCCACCTGTCGGTCTTATTGTGTAATATATGGACCCCATAAGGATATTTACTCCACTTGAATCCCCATTTGTCTTCTACGTAGACTAGGGATGCCAGAAACTGACCATGATGAAAATCGGACAGCCCTGGCGAATATTAATCAATTATTCGCCGACGCAGACCCAACCCAAAACTGGTGGTGTGACCAATGGCCATTTAAAATTATTAATACTATTACTGTTATTAGCATTAGTCTATATTTTGGTTGAAACTAAGCCAGGAAAAAAATGAAAAACATAAATAATAATAAAAAAATATATAAATAAAATCGAATTTAAAAAAATAATTTTTCGATTATGGAGACTGTAACGAATATTCGAATAATCGCTGGCATCCCTAACGTAGACGCCACATGTCCACTTCCACTCTGTCTGAGTGGCACTGACTCTTCCTTCGCCTCACTTTGGATTCGCTCCTCTCCGAGTGCTAATCCTACACCGCCCCACGTCCTCCAAACTGCTCCTCCTGAGCCGCCTGCACTCTAAATAATTAGTTTGAAAGAAATGCAACCTCCTTTATCTGTGCTGTCTCCTTCATACTTTCCATCACTTCACTCCTCAGTGACCGGCTTGTCTGTCTCAGGCATCTGGAATAGACGTTAAGTGTGTCTTAAGTGACGTTTTGACAAGTATAAAGTGAGTGACAGTTGGGTAGTTATGTTCAAGTACTGCCAAAGATAAAGCAAAACAAGACAATTGTGCCTTTCCTTTGCCCAGCTTTAGCTAAATTAACTCTGTCACTTATTACACCCGTAAATAAATATGATGGTATAATTAGAAACATGTATAGTCACTTCAATGAGAAGCAGACAGACTGGTCCACATGATGTGTTGGGAAGTAGATCCAGGATATCAAACTGATTCATGAGCAAAAATGTAGAAGCTAATGCTAAAGCCTACAGATTACAGTGAACTTTAAAAGTGAACCACAGTTTATTCAAATTAAATTAAGGTGCAATACTGTTCTTCTAATATGGGGTAGCTCTTTATGCACCGTACAATCATTTAAAAGTAAAAGCAGCATGAGTATTCATCAAAGACTGTGTATATATATATATATATATATATATATATATAAAAAGGGACACATCCAGTATAGTGTAGTATTTCTTTAGTAGCTAAACAAGCTAACGCTGGTTAGTGATATGCTAACGTTCTCTGTTAATGTTAGTGCCAAAGGTTTTAATTTAGAACAGTAACAATTGTCACTCTCAGAAATGCAATATGCATGTTTTACCATCAGCTTGAAAGTACAAAAAAAAACAGCCTGAAAAGAACCAATCTGCTTCAAATTTTTATTAATAGTAGTAGTAGTGGTGGTGGTGGTAGTGGTAGTAGTAGTAGTAGTGTAGTTTTTTTGATGGACACTATGATTGGCTAGTCTGTATTTGAGGGGCGGGACTTAGCAAAGGGTCTATTCCAGGTGGGGTTAATTGTGGTGTCTTTGACTGGAGCCCATAGCTTGCAGAATAAAAAGTAATTGTTGACACATGTAACTGGTGAGTGGTGATCAGAAAGGCTCGCTACCTGTCCTGATGCTAGCGTGTTAGCATGCGTCCTCAGACCTCCACTAACGTGAGTGCTCTGCTGGCCTAGGTGTCCTTTGTGTTAATATTGAATGGTGGGAAACACAGGTAAGGTTACCGGACAGATATAGTTCTACACATGCTTCATGAATATTGCAAACCCTGGATGACCTCCTAATGTTAGATCAGGGTGACACAGCGCGGCAGCTAGCATTTCTCTCTGCTGCCAGCCCTGTGTGTGATACGAGAGGGAAGCACAGGATGTTTATAGGAACATTGTGTTACTCATAAACCTTCCTATACATTGCATTATGGTGTGCATACTTACACGTGATTACAACATTCATTATAATCAGTGGTGGTACTGGAAAAGCATTACAAAACGAATTCCATGTCAGTAAGAATATAGTAAATGACAGTCATAACAATTGTGCACAATAAAAACTGGTTTAGGGTTATCACATCACTTCAAATGTGTTTTTTGCAAATGTACTATTATGGCACGTTTCCACTGCAGCGCGTAGCACCGTTTAAGCGTGCCGTGCCAAACCCGGCCCGTTTTTTGTTGCGTTTCCACTAGGGGTAGTTCCGGCTTACAGGTGCTTTTTCACAGTTTTTCTGGCCCTCCAAAATCGAGGTTCTTTCCGGGCCAACAACCGGGCTGAATTTGCTAAACTAGTGACGGCAAGGGGGCTACAACTACAACACAATGAACATATTTGACCGTGATTAAATTGTAATACACGTTTCTAAATGATGCCGAAGTAACAACATACTGATACCGGTTAGTAAAAACCATGAATTAATGCTTTGACAAGTCTGCAGACAGACGGCAGGCGAAACACCTTTTTAAAATGTGTGTTTTCTGAATGGAGATCGGCTAAGCTAACGCAGTATATGCTCCGACCGTCCACACTCACAACAACGGCCTACAGACATAAATAAACCAGCGACTGTATTCGCCATGACACAAACAGGCTGTGGTTTGGATTTGTTTAACTTCTGTCTAGTTTCTGAACAGATATGAGGAGCTGTGAGCTCTGAGTGCTAACAGCTAACGGCTGATGTTGGTTTTGTGGTTCGCATTGAAGATGACGTCATGGCTCCGTCTACACTGCGTTACTATAGTTACTGCCCCAGCTACTAAACCGTAATGGAAAAGTGAGCCTGGCCTACCAAGGCCTAACTAAGCCGTGCGAGACCCTGCAGTGGAAATTAGTGACGATTTAGACTCGAGCAATGNCAATATTCGCATCGCTCTAATCGCTTGAGTTTCACCGCGGCTGTCAGCTGTGTTTGCTCCTGTCATTCAAACAAGACAAGCTGGAGAGGGGGCGGGGCGTATCTACATGTAAATCAAATGGGAGATACCAACTACAACAAAATGAACATATTTGACCGTGATTTAATTGTAATACACGTTTCAAAGTGATGCCGAAGTAACTACATACTGATACCGTTTAGTAAAAACCATGAATGAATGCTTTGACAAGTCTGCAGGAAAGACGGCAGGCGAAAAGCTTTTAAAATGCGTGTTTTCTGAATGGAATCGAATCCATTAGGCTACACTAACCTGTAGCTGCTCCGTCCACACTCACAACAACGTCATACAGACATAAATAAAGCAGCGACTGTATTCGCCATGACATAGACAGTCTGTGGTTTGTACATGTCTAACTTTTGTCCAGTTTCTGAACAGATATGAGGAGCTGTGAGCTCTGAGTGTGTGCTAACGGCTGATGTGTTGGGACATATTGCGCTGTCGGGCGTTGACCAATCACGAAGCGTCATTTCTTGACTGGCAGCAAAAACAACCAATCACAGCAGTGCTTCTCTGGCTGGCTCTGTCCAATCACAAACAAGAAGTGTTCTCCCTAAGGAATGCCCTTTCCGTCCAATGTGAAATGCTTTTGTGTTTTGTGAAATGCTTTTGTGTTTTGTGAAATGCTGTGGCGTTTTGTGAAATACTGCGGCGTTTTGTGAAATGCTGTGTGTTTTGTGAAATGCTGTGGCGTTTTCTGAAATGCTGTTGTGTTTTGTGAAATGCTGTAGCGTTTTGTGAAATGCTGTGGTGTTTTCTGAAATGCTGTGGTGTCTTGCACTTCAGGGCCACCGTACCTTCAGCTTATTATTGTCAAAACGACAATGTGTCAAAGTCTGCATTGACACCCTTCTAAAAAGTCAATCTTAAACAAACAGGTTCAGCAACAATTAGAAAAATAAATTTCTGTTAGGAAGGGGACTTTAGTAAGTTGATATTTAAAAAGTTAACTGCAACTTCAAGCTCAGATCAAACAGGTTTTTTTCCCAAAATATTAGTGATGTTTTGTTCTCGACAAAGATCTTTGTTGAATACACCTTTGCGTTTTAATGAAAGTTGTCAAGACTAAGCATTGTTGCCAAGAGACTTGCTAAATTCAAGCTCCAGCCATCAAGTCATCCAACGAAGCATTAAAGACAAGATGACATTTTCTAAATAGTGTTTATGATTTGAGAAACAAAGATTCTTCATTGTATATTTAAATTATTTTCAACAAACAAGCCATCATCAGAAAAAAGTTACAAAATGAGGAAAATAAATAGTTTTTCAATTGTCAGTAAGGAGAAGAATAAACATTCATTTAGCAAAATTGACCATAAACAATAGACGAAAGCAACAATGAGAAAATGTCTACAGATGAATGTTGCCAAGACAGAACAAGATGC